ACACACCACACATTGCAAACACCATTCAGTTTTATCTCGAGACATGTATGGCCAGTAGCATTTGACCTGAGCACATTTTGAAGTCTTTACTGCATCATCATGTCCAGCAAGAGAATGACCATGTAGTGCCATGAACATTTCCTTTTGCAGATCACTTGGGATAACAGTCTGTGTACCATGATCACCGGGTGGATGCCAAATCTGCCGGCAGAGAAGAAAGTCACTAACAACTAGCTTTGGGAACTCCATCCAAAAGTGTCTGTGCTCAGGGGAGCACTTCTTTATCTTTGCAACGTGAGGCCTGTTATTTGTGAGCACCCATTCCAGAACAGATTTTAACACGGGGTCGCTGTTCTGGGCCTCTCTAAGGTACTCAGTGTCTCTGTTCAGGAACGAGAGGTCAATCATTTGACCATGAGCCACCTGCTGGACCGATGCAGTAACATCCACAGGTTTGCAGCCCCTGTTGGAACAACAAGAGAGGAGTTTGAAGGATTTAAGTTGGTGGGACAGTCAACTGCTTGTGATGGGCGACGTGACATTGAATCAGCATTTGCATGTTTGTGTCCCTGTCTGTGTTCAACAATCCAGTCATATGGATATATTTCAAGGGCCCACCTGGCTTTACATTCAGTTGGGTCACAGTCCAGAACCATTTTTCTCAGACTGAGAAGAGGTTTGTGGTCAGTGATGATCTGAAAATGGTGTCCAGTTAAATATTGGCGCAACTGCCTAATAGACAAGACTATAGCCCATAACTCTGTCATAGGTGAACCAACATGTTCTCTTTTTGTGAGGACATGACTACTGTAGGCAATGACATTTTCCCAATTTGTATCATTTATCTGTGATAGTACACAACCAATGGCCACACTTTTGAAGCATTGGTTAGAAGCAGAAACTCACGTGAAAAGTCTGGATACGAGAGAATGGGACCACTGCTTAGAGCATGTCGCAATGCATCAAAATAGTTTCCCTTTTTGTGTGAGTGCATGAAGTGGCTCAGACAGCTTCGCATATTGATAGATAAACCATATGAGCACAAACCCAAAAATACTTTCACTTCTGTGAGGCTGTTTGGGGTGGGCCACTGTTTTACTTTTTCAATATTTTTGGGGTCTGGCCTAAGGCCTCCAGCAGATACATCATGGCCAAGAAAAGCCACTTTCGAGGGTTTGAGTTTCAGATAGGCTGCCCTGAAGCGGTCAAATACTTCCCTTAGGTGTTCTAAATGAAAAGAAAAGTTGGTATTGTATACAATTCAATGTTTCCCCTAGTTTGCTTGCCATGGTGGGGTGCTCATCTCATCCATGATTTTTGCTGATGGGGGGATGGAGGCATGTCTGAGTGTAGCTTGTACTAACTGTTTTTGAGCGGGGGCAGGGGGCGTTCAACATGAGGGAAGAGGCAATGTGAGTGCTGCCTTTGGCTTTTTAGCTAGAGAGCCTGTATTTTGTGCCACTAGCTTAGTGATATGTCAGTGCCGGGTGGGGGTGGGAGAGGCAAGTTCAGTTTGGTAGGCGGGGTGCTCAGTTCCTTTGACGGGGTGGGGCACCCCGCCTGTAATGGTAGGGGAAACACTGCAATTATAACGTCATGGTAAATGAGGCAGGTTTTCCATGACAAACCTTGTAAGACCAACTGCATCAGATCTTGAAAAGTAGGTGGAACATTTACCAGTCCCATCAACATTATGTTAAACTGGTAGAGGGCTCCATGGTGAATGTTGTTTTCATGTTGTCTTTTTCATCAAGCTGCACTTGCCAGTAACCTGATGAAAGGTCCATGGTGCTGAAAACTGAAGAGCCCCTGAGGGCATCCAGTGTGTCATCCGTACGTGGCAAAGGATGAGTATCTTTAGTGGTGACTACATTTAATCCGCTATAGTATGCACAAAACTGCCATGAATCATCCTTCTTTCTCACCATGACCACAGGGGCAGCCCATGGGCTAAGACTGACCTCAATGAGTGCCTTGTCCAACATCTCATTCACCTGCGATTCAATGATCTGCGTTTGTGTTGAGGTGCGGTAGGCTCGTTTACGTACAGGGAGTGCAGTGTTGGTGTCAATTTTGTGCTTGCCAATGCCTGTTCGTACAAAATCATTGGGGCTTTTACTAAAAATGTCCCTGTTCTTTAGCAAAAGCTCATTAAGTTGAGACTGCTCCAAAGGAGACAAGTGTTACCCAGACAGATCAAATGGGACTTGGAGCTGTTGATCAAATTGACTTGAGTTAGTGGTTATGTGTCATGTTTTTGCCCCCTTTTCCTGCCCTGGCTGTGTTTTCTTGTTTTGATTTTCCTGCCAAACTCTTCCAGCTCCTGTCAATCATCCTGATTCACTCTGCTCCACGCCTCACTCTGCAATTAAGCTTGTGCGTTTCACCTGTTCCACACACTTCTTAAGCTCCCTGTCTTCCCTCAGTCAGTGCCAGATTCTTTAACCTTTCTTAGTAGTAGAAGTCCAGCATTCAGTATCCTGTCTCTTGCCTTGCCATGAACTCAGCCTGTTCTTTGACCCCTCTCTTCACCTGCCCCTTTTTGGATTTTGTATGCTTCTCTATCTACTGGTTCTGAACCACCCCCAACCACGACGACTTTGGATCACATATTTGGTTCAGTCTTCTGCTCTCTGTTACCCTGTGAATGACCCCTGCTACAACTCATGGATTACAGACCTGGATCGCCCCATTACTGGATCTCAACAGCTTCTATCTGCTCCACAGCAGCTGTTCACACTGCGGGAGTGACGTCACTGGCTTCAGCGCGACAATAGCACCTGTCACACCATCAAGACAGAAGGTTAGTGGAAAAACTCAGTACCTCTCTGCACTTCCTCCTCCAAGCTGAGTTCACTAACGCTTCTGTCTTGACAGATTGGACCCAGCCCAAGACCCAGCCCTTCACCAGAGCTAGTTTAAAGACAATAAAACTTTTTGAACCACTCTTGGTCTTGGTGTTGTTGTGCTGATCCTGACTGGTCCTTGTCATTATGTGTGTTTGGTCTATGTTAACCGTACATATAGGGGTTGGCTTAAATGGGGTACAGTCCTGAACAATGTCCTCTTGAAAGACAGGAGAAAACTGGCCTATTTGCATCCCAGGTTGTAAAGTATCGGGACCATTGGTTGGATTCAGAAGACGGACAAGAGCAAAGCCATTTCTAGCTGTGGTTAAATTACATGCCACATAAATGCCATCCAGGTCCAACTGGTAAGGCTCAAGGCAGCAATCATAGTCATCAGGGATGACCACAGTTACCAGTGGAGGGGTTAATGACACTTCACAGTTTATCTCACAATGTGGTGGCACCACTGTACATTCTGTTACATGTGCTGTACAGTTCAAGGGAGCCAACTGGGTTTTTCTGAGGAGAGAAATATATTTCCCATATAATTTGCAGATGCCCTGATCAAAATTCAGAACAGCATTATAGACTTGTACAAAGTCTATATACCAAGTAGCATGCCTTCACTGACATTCCCCATCACCTGCACATCATGGTGTAAGGTATGTGAACCCAGCTTAAGAGTCACTTCAATGGTGCCTAAAGTGTCCTTTCCTCTGGTGTCCACCCTCTCACTTGTCCAGAAACCGTCCAGATGACCTGACTGAAAATTGATGGATTTTATACCTGAATTATTGAGCATGGACTTGTTTTGAAGCAGTTTGACATGACTGACGACGAGGGAGAGGGCAGTCACCGGAGGAGAGGGTGTGCTCCAGAGAACATCTTAGCACCAACATAACACTTTTTTCCCCACTTTGGAGTAAGATGTTGGCAGAGAAGCAGTTTTGTTTGGTGTTTCCCCAGACTGATGAAGCCTTCTGGATGGAGGGCGAAACGTCTCAGCACAAAAAAAAAACAAAAAAAAAAAACGTCCAGATGACCAGACTGAATATTGTTGAATTTCATACCTGGATTATTGAGCATGGACTTTGATGATTTGAAGCAGTTTGACATGACTGTTGACGAGGGAGAGGGCGGGCACTGGAGGAGAGGGCGTGCCCCAGAGACCATCTTAGCACCAACATAAAAGTTTTTTTTTTCCAGTTTGGAGTAAGCTGTTGGGGGAGAAGCAGTTTTGTTTGGTGTTTCCTCAGACTGATGAAGCCTTCTGGATGGAAGGCAAAACGTCTCAGCACAAAAAAAAAAGAAACCGTCCAGATGACCTGACTGAAAATTGTTGGGTAAATGATCAATGTTCAACATACAAAGATATAAGATCAACAAGATTAAGCATGAAGATAAAATATCACAGCAGCACGATGACACAACTGATAGAGCTGCTGCCTTTCAGCGCGCAGATCCATGGTTCAAATCCCGATCCGGGAGCCTTTCTGGGTGGAGTTTGCATGTTCTCTCCGTGCATGCGTGGGTTTCCTCCGGGTACTCCGGTTTCCTCCCACAGACCAAAAACATGCATGTTAGCCTGACTGTTTGTCTCGTTTGTCTATGTGGCCCTGTGATGGACTTGCGACCCATCCAGGGTGTACCCCGCACAGTGATTGCTGGACATGGGCACCGGTGACCCCCGTGACCCAAAATGGAAGAAGCGGGTAAAATAGATGGATGGATAAAATATCACCAAACAAAATTAGTATTTTTTCTGGGAGAAATATAAACAGTCACAAGTACATTTCTCAGTTGACTTCTTATCAAGTTTCATTTTGAGTATCTCAGTGTGTACAAGCAGTGAAAAACATACAAAATCCTTTACTCAACAAAATTAAGTTCTGTTTATTTAAATTCATTTGTAACTAGGAAATGACTGAATAACAAACATGTAGAGTTAGGATGAATCTGTCACACACCTATTGTACCGGTATGTTTAATAGAGCATATACTGGATAGATGATTGGGATGGTTTATTACAATGTATTACGAAAATGCCAAGTTAGATATATACTTTTTAAAAGCCCTTGCCATCTGATCTTAAGTAACAGCAATCAGCTGTATCTGATTTGCAGTGCAAGTTAACAGATTTGTAAGCCTGTTTTACTGTGTGCAGCCTCTTTTCTTGTATTCTGCTATGAAATAATTAAAGTTATAACAAATTTGCCTATTAGCAGATTTTTTGCAATCGTCTTCCAGTGGCCTTTTTTCAACCCAGGTGTTTGATTCCAGCAGATACTGCATCCTATAAAGACAGAGAGTGGAGAGTAATTCAGTCAGTTTGGATTTGTAATTTCATTGATGTATTTGATTATACTTACTGTCCATTAGAGTCTTTAGTAGAGCCGTCTTTGCCCATAATGAGATATTGTTTTCCTAGTTCTAACTCCCCTTTGCAGTGAAGCCTCCTGGCAAACACTCGAACAGATCTGTTATTCACATGATGATCTCCATCTAATGAACAAATTATAACCATGGTATTACAGTAAAAGTTCTCCAAAATTTTCAGTAACTGAACCATCTTTTTTGTAGAATTGGGTTTACTTACAAAATTTGAGGACCTCAGTTATGTTAGCTTTGTACAGCTCAAAGTTGCTCTTAACAGAAACACTCTGAATCTCAACAATGTATACTGGGGGAAAACAAAAAAAAAGTACCTCTGAATACAAAGTATGTAGTTGAACCTTTAAACTGTAAACCATTAACCATAAAAACTTGACAATATGAAAATCACAAAAGATGTTACAACTTTCCAACAATGTATTGTTTAAGGTTCTGACCGTATTCCATCAATGGGACGACGCAAGCATGACGTAAACGTGCCGGTGTGATTTTTTTACTTCCCTTTGATTTGACTGCATCCCGGATTTCATGACAGGGCCCTAAAACAAATAAATAAATTGCAACTAAGGTTATTTACACATACCAGAATTATACAAATGTTTATTCAGGAGCCAGTATAGGTAAAAACATAATATAATTACATTTGTACAAGCACTTTTTCAGTTCTTTTTGTCTGCTTTTAAAAAAGAAATAGCTGATCATAAAACCATTTACATGGGCACCGGCAACCCCGTGACCCAAAATGGAAGAAGCGGGTAAAAGATAATGGATGGTTTGATGGAAAACCATTTAAGTGGAGAAACTTTAGTAAGGGGGAGTGGTGGTGCAAAGGTTAGAGAAGTGAACTCATTATTGGAAGGTCATCAGTTTGAATCCTCCTGCTGACTGTAGCATCAAAATGTGGGTGGAAAATGTAGAGCAGCCACATCTATCTCCTCCCCCACTCTGAGCCCTTGAGCAAGGTCATTAACCCTCCCATCTGCTCCCCCCAGGTGCCCTGGATGGCAGCCCAGTGCTCCACACTTAGGTAACTTGGTGGTCTGTGGTTGAGTCAGGAAGGGCATGGTGCTTAAAACAATTGTCAAATCCTTGTGCATGTGTGGCGACCCCTGAAGACGGGTGCAGTCGAATAGAATAAAAGGAGAAATGTTTGTCTATAAATCCCTTAGGAATCATTTAAGCCAAATACACAACACCATCCATCCATTATCTTTACCCGCTTCTTCCTTTTTCGGGTCATGGGGGTCACTGGTGCCCATGTTCAGCTATCACTGTGCGAGAGGCGGGGTACACCCTGGACTGGTCGCAAGTCCATCACAGGGACACATAGAGACAAACGAGACAAACAACTATTCACTTTCTAACTCACACTTATGAACAATTTAGAGTTACCAATCAGCCTAACATGCATGTTTTCGATCTGTGGGAGGAAACCGGCGTACCCAGAGAAAACCCACACATGCACGGAGAGAAAATGCAAACTCCACCCAGAAAGGTCCCGGCCTGGAATTTGAACCAGTGACCATCTAGCTGAGAGGCAGCAACTGTACCAACTAGAGCTGTAATTTCTAATCCAAACCCGGAGCCCCGCCCCGCCCGACCTGGATTCGGACTGTACCGGGCCATAATAATGTGCTTAATGTACGGGCCGGGTCGGTGCAGGCTTTTGATTGTGTCAGGGATGTGCATGGCCGACTATCCAATTATACGCCAACATGGCTTGCCATACTATCACCAGCCGCATGCAGCCATTTGACTGCACGCTGACTGGCTGGTTGAAAGTGGTAAAAAGTTCAGTTAAGCTTCAGATGGACTACTTCCAGCAATCCATCAGCCCAAATGGACGTTCATTCATCCGCTGCACTCAGCGGATGCACGCGACTGACTACCCAAACAGGTGAGATCACAAAATATCCGACATGTCAGAGCAGGGCTCAATGCAGGCAGAAGCAGGGGAAGCATTTAATGAACTTTGACGGCTCCAATCTTCTGCCCCCTTTTTCTCAGCCGCGCACATCTGCTAACTGTTAATAATGGTCGGTGATATATGCAGTCAAAGCTTAATTAAAAATGTCTGGGTTTTTGGGGGGGTTCGGACCTGTAATTACTGTTAATTCCTTGGATTGAATGGGGTTCAGAGATGATGGCTGTGGGCTGGGGTTGGGTCGGATCGAATCTTTTGGGCCTGAGTGCAACTCTACTACCAACTGATTCACTGCCCAATACACAACACAGTTATTTCAATTTACTGCTACTTTGCTGACAGTAGTTTAATGCTAGCTTGTGTTTATTGACAGTGATCAAATCAATACATTATAATTAGGGATTATGATTGGGGCTGTAGTAGCTTAGTGGCCAGTGCCACGGTCTTGTACTGTAACCCTCAGGCTGCAGGTTTAAGCCCAGGTTGCATCAGGAAAGAAAGCTGGCAAAAATTTATCAAAATCTTTCATCTGAGTTCACTTGACATAGTCTTATTTGAATCACTAATAAAGAGGATGATAAATGTCAGGAGTACAAATGAATCTTATTTGTTTCTTATTTTTGTTGACCATGCCTTTTTCCCTCTACTTCCATCAAATAGTTTGTTCAAGTAGAACTAACAGTTTACTTCTCTGCTTTGATCTAGCTTATTGTTTGTCACAATTTGTGTTATCACATATTTCCCCTCACAGTCAAATCTGTGCAGACAAAACTTAGTAAAAAATGTTTTTCCGTATCATATATATATATTTTTTGATGCTTTCAGTTCTAGTATAAATGTGTTAAATGTTGTGATTTGTGGATGCTTTCAGTGGATCTTTGCCCTTATCCCCCTACTTGTCTCAGATATGTAGACAGGCTGCAGTGGGTGTGGAGTTGCAACTCATTCATGAGGAAACCCAAGATGATGAGGCTGAGGCACACTGGCAAGGCACTACGTGGCTAAAATATTTTAACAATAGTTTTTTTTTGTCCACAATACAATTTTTGTGATTGTTCGGAGGCAACAAAATTGAAATGACCAAGTTGATTATTTGCACAGCCCTACTTTCTGCACATTGGCAAACATCCTCTGAACACAGTTTGGAGACCATCTTGCTTCTTTTTGGAGCAGAGTAGAACACAGTGCACTTTCTCTCTGCAAAGAAAGCATATGAAATATATTCCAAAATTAAATAAATATGCCCTTTAGATAAATTTTTCCAAAATTTAAAATAAAACCTTACTTGGTTCATAGTAATCGTAGACTGTAGCTGGAGCAGGCTGCAGAAGGCCAATTGGTATATTTTGTACAGCATCAAAACTTAGACATTCCTTTTGATTTAAGAGCTGGAAAAGAAGAAAAATGAGTTACTAGTAAAATAGTTTTTAGTTTCAAACTATGTTCAAGTTTTCTCTGTAACTTCAGCCTCACCTCATTAAAGTAGAGCACCACTCTTCCGTAGGATAACTCATAATGACTAATGTATTGTTCAGATGGCATATTTAGCTAGGAAAAGAAACACAAATTTAATCATTGAAGTTGCTTATGGAAATGTATATTTTATTTTCCCTTCCAATAATTAATTTTTATATAAAATTTCTAAACAAAAAAACATGCTCTTCTGATAGACGTGTTATCGATCTCAGCTATGTTAATCTTGAGAAAAACCAACATTGTAAAGTCTTTAGAATTAAACATTTTTGATGTGTAAATGTGGCTTACATCATACAGCATTTTTACACAAGCCATATATTTAATATTAAAGAAAATGGACTTCCACAAGTAGTAGAACTGGTCCATTATTCATTGAGGAAAATTTATTTTATGTTAAATATCAACTTTAAAAAAATCTCGGTACTGCACTTATTGTAAAGGTGACATTCTGTAATGGTTATTCAGTTGGTGAGATGACACATAGGTGTGAGTAGTATGAAGAGAATTAAGAAAATTGCAAACCCTGTCAAGGTCTTCTGGTTTAGCCTCAAATCCACTGAGCAGTGAGATGTCAGCAATAGCCATTCCTGACAGATTGGTGTTTGAGTTAAGACTTTGAAGAGACGAACAACAAAAATGTTGTGAAATTTGTACATTTGTGACAGTGACATCTTTTTTAAAATCTCAGTGTTGTGAATATTTGACAGGAGCACTTCACTAACCTGACACAGACAGTGTAGGTAACAGTGTTGTCTGAATTTATGCTGTTTTCAACATCTCTCCTGCTTCTTGTGAGAGCATCTAAATGCTCAATCACATATGGTGCCTCTTGCACCTTCTTTACCTCAGTGGCATCATAATCATAATAGTCATAATTTTCAATTATCTTTGCTGGAAAAGTAGAGACAACTGTAAGTGTTTGATTCGCTGGTGCTTGTACTTTTTTTGTTATTAAAACTCACCAGTGTACTTCACTTTTCCCTCCACTGTCACACTGATAGAAAGTTCGGTACAGTCATCCACAGGATCCAGCACATGGTAAGCCTTTACAGTCTAGAAATGGGGAGATTTACTGTCAAATGTAGATATTATGAATGAAATATGAAATAGATTGTTATACTCACTTTCAGTTTAAAGTCTCCTTTTCCTGTCAGCTCAACATTAATTATGTTCCCTGTAAATTTCTAAGACAACAGACACAAATGAAAGAAAGTTATGCTTAAAGATATATCTGAAATGACAACACCTTTTAGGTGTGTAGTATTTATAATACCTTTAGGTCTCTTTCCACTTTTTCTTTTTTATTTTGCAGTGCAAGTGTAACAGATTCAGCCCTTCCTGGAACAGTGAACTCTGCATTTATATTTCCAACTGGTCTGGGCCTTTTTAGTTCATACTCCGACAGGGCTTCAAGCGCCATGACGGTGTCCTTTACAGAGTGGACAAAAAAACACTTTGAAATTGTCTGATAAATATTTGGAAACTCCATTTGGATGCTTTGTCTGATAATAGAGCACAGTGGATTTTTATTCAACTCTGTCTGGCATTGCAGTCACCTGTGTTGATTTGTATCCTCCAAAATAGTTTTCTTGGCTGGTTAGCCAACAGGCTATTTGGTCTGCCCAGTCATAATTCACAAGTTCCACCGCAGTCAGAAGGGCATAGGCTGTTGTCTCAACTGTGATGGCATCAGCTTGATTTTTATTCACTTGACTGGGATTGTCAGTCCACAGGTAGCAGTGCTGCTTATCTGATAACATAAAACAAAAATAAAATAACTAATATCAGTAAAATAATGTTTTTACTACAGTAAGGATGATGAGCAAGTTGGTCAAAAGATCACAAAAACTTTTTAGATAAACAGTAGGGTTTTTTGGCAACCTAATTATTTTTCTATCAATGTAAAAATAAATTGTGACATTATTGATTAGATTTGTTTTAAATTTTCTCAACTGAAATTTGCATAAATGTCAGTATTATAAAAAGCAAGAAAGTCTACATATTTGGCAATAGATCAGTTTGCTCAGCTTTCCTATACATAATGGATTAGTATAAACCTGCCTTTTATTGCTCTTGACTGAAGTTTCTTCCATGCAGGTAATCGATCTGCTTCATTTGGCAGGCAAACTGAGAGACAATAAGCTGTTAAGGCTATGGCATAGGTATGACTCAGGCCTTCTAGTTGAGACTGGAGATACGTTGTTGCACTTGATATGCTTGCTTCCTGTTAAAAAGTAGTGAGACACAAAATTAACTTTGAGCACCAAATGTTCCCTGCATTTAATGCACTGACAAGTTTATCAAAATGAAGGTACTGTATTTAAAGACTAAAGTTTTCAAAGCTTACTATATATATATATATATATATATATATATATATATATATATATATATATATATATGACTTTTTCTATGTACTTAATGGGTCTTTGTCTCTCAATTATTGTTCACAAATTTGTGTAAGTCTGTGTTAGTGAGCACTTCTCATTTGCCGTGATTATCCATCCACCTCAAAGGTGTTGCATATAAAGACATCATGTTTGTTGCACAAGTGTGCCTTAGGATGGCCACAATAAAAGGCCACTCTAAAATGTGCAGTTTTATCACACAGCACAATGCCACAGATGTTGCAAGTTTTGAGGGAAGGTGCAATTGGAATGCTGACTGCAGGAATGTCCATCATAGCATGAATTGAATGTTCATTTCTCTACCATAAACCATCTCCAAATTTGTTTCATAAAATTTGGCAGTATATCCACAACTCACAACCACAGACCACATGTAACCACACCAGCCCAGGACCTCCACATTCAGCATCTTCCTTCACCTCCAAGATTGTCTGAGAGCAGCCTCCCAGACAGTTGCTGCAACAATTGACTTGCCTAGCCAAATAATTTTTGCACAAACTGTCAGAAATAGTCTCAAAGAAACTCCAACAATTTTCAGTCAGGTCATCTAGACAGTTTCTTTTTTTTTTGTGCTGAAACGTTTCACCTTCCTTCCAGAAGGCTTCATCAGTCAAGGAAACACAAAACTGACTCGTCCCCCACCAGTTTACTCCAAAGTGGAACAAACCAGTTATGTTGGTTCTAAAATGGTCTCTTTGGCACGCCCCCTCCTCCAATACTGGCCCTCTTCCTCGTCAACAGTCATGTCTAAATGATTCAAAACCAACAAAGTCCATGCTCAATAATCCAGGTATACAATCCAACAATTTTCAGTCAGATCATTTGGACAGTTTCTTTTCTATTTTTTTGTGCTGTAACGTTTCACCTTCCATAGAGAAGGCTTCATCAGTCAAGGAATATATATATATATATAT